GGTACATTAAGCAATGATGAAGAAATTGATGATATAGCTGCTAGAATTATGATGGCTTCACCAAATCAGGATGAGGTCAGTTTGGTTAAATAAGATTTAAAAATGAAATGAAATTAAATGAATGGAGTTTTATGTCCTACTTTTCTGCACCTAACTTGCACAGCCTGTCGCACATGGGGCCTCTTTTTATTGTCCCATCCAGACGACTAGATGCTTTTTCCATGTCAGTCCCTTTGATCTGCATCACAAGGGGAAACCAGGTTTTAAAACCTGAAGGTTTTATCTCATCCTATTATCCCAGGATTGAACCCCGAATTTCAGGTTAGTGAGCAAGCGTCTAACTCATGGAGCCACAGCAGCTCTCAAAATTTAGAGCCATTTGTTGTTTATGATATTTAAGAACATTTAAGGCAAGTACAATGAATAAGGGACAATTTTTATGAAAAATTTAATTAAAAGCTCTGATTACTAAAATAATTAAAACATGACATCTATATTGTAGATCATCAATAGAAGAGGTGAAAATATTGAAATAAAAAGTAAGATTCCTTTTTTAAAACAGTTTCAAATCAAACTCAATTTATTTCTTAATTTTCACATTGCATTGGAATTTTATTGATTAATGACTGTAGGATCTTATTAAGCTTTATAGTTTATATTTTGAATGCATCTTTTGAATTTCAATTTGTTTAGTGTTTATTTTTTTTTATATTTTTCCATTATTATTATTATTTCTATAAAATGTTAAAACTTACAACTCCACATGGCATGCTTAAATATCATTTTTTTTTTTTTTTGATAAAACATACAAAAAATTCCTAATTTTGAAAAGTGATGTATAATATCTCAAAAATATTTCAAAATGGCTGTAGTTTGCTCTTGTTTTATTTGTATTTGTACTAAATTTTGAGGAGGGAGTCCATCAAGTGATGCTTTTGATGATGATGATGAATCCAGACCAGAGTCCTTCATGGCCAGTTCACCAGTTACAGGAAAAAATCTTCCTTTTCCATCAGAATTTAATTATTCTGATTCTGATAATGATAATGATGATGACTCAATGGAAGAAATTACAGTATATATTGAATCACGTTCTCGCAGTAATTTTATTTTTATCATTTTATTTTAGAAGTGATGTAGTCTGCTTCTTATTTTAATGCTTTTTGGTTTGTTTGTAGTGAAGTAGTTTTTTTTACTTTAGAATTTTCTCCTATTTTCTTATTTACTTATTGTACCAGACAATATTGGATGTGACTGGATAAAAATGAACTGAATGACCTTTACTACTGTTAGTTCTGAAAAATTGTAAAAACATTGTGTTGATCACTAAGCCAATATGGCAATATTTTTGTAACAAATTTATTGGTACCTACTATATCCAAAATAATAGCAAGAATTAGTTATTCTCTTTTCATCCTATAGCAATCAATGTTGGAATGTCCCTTAATAGCTGTAAAGTGGTTTTGAATTTGAAAAAGGTTTCTAGCATGTTTGTGTGAGTGGACATCATTTATAGTTGGATTCTCAGGAAAAAATCTTTACTATAAATGTTAATTTTGAAAACTGGTTTTCATGGCTTCATGTTTTAAAGGAATAAAAACCTGTCTTGTTTTTCAGTCTTATCATCTGTTTTAATCATTACTTTCAGCTCAATAACAGACCATTATGGTGGTTTGTGAAATTTTCTCTTTTGACACTGTTTGTCACTCTGGGAACTTTTTGTCACTTGCTCACCTATTTCATCTTTCACAAACCCTCAACCTAATTTGATTCACATTTCAAACATTTTATTGTACATTTCACAATTTAAAACAGATTGCTTGGTTTGTTTGTGGCTAGTTTCACTTTAAATGCTTTGATGTGACGTTTCATAAATAAACAATGTTAAGAAATTGTACAAATCAGAATAAGTAACATTAAACATGAAAATCTCAATACATGTACATTATTTATAATTTTTATTCCCTTTTTTTACACCAGTAAGGAATTAATTAGTACTCTAAATAAGATGTCAGGTTGTTCTGACTGTTGTAATGTGAGAATCCACAGAGTACACTGAATCACTCTAAACTTTCAAACATGTCAAATGTGAATTACAAAGAATGATTGTGATTGTTTATTTTGTAGTTTATGGGGCTACACCAGATTCTGGTTGGGTGGGTGATAGTGAGCAGACATCAATATCAGGACATGATGATAGACTGGGTGAAAGTCGTAAAGATAGTATGAAGATCAGTATTGATTTAGATAAATCTAGCAAGGTTAAACAGAGACCTGTATCATCATTTGTAGAAAGAAGACTTTATAGAGGTATGATATTTTATTTCATACTTAACAGCTGCAACAGCCGCCATAAGAATCTATTTTGATAAGTGAATCGCAGTTCCTTCTATAAATGAATATATGTGGCTTAAATGATAATAGCTCAAATTTTTTGATACTAGAGATAATATTATTGCGTGAAATTGTTGAAAAAATTATTTACTTTTTAGATAAATTAAAACCCAATCAACAAATATTGTCAGATGCAGAAATTAGAGATATAACAGAGAAAGAAGTAAGGGTTTCTAATATATTTTTGTTTATCTATTTTCTCAGATTAAATTTGTTGGACTTTCTCAAACTTTGGTTTTATATTATTCATTGTTATAGTCAAGCAAAAATATTTTTTCCATATTAATGTCCGATTCAAAACATGAGCAGTCCAATTTACTTTTAGGTAGATCAAGTAGTAATGGACAGAATAAGCCGTTTAGTTTCCAGTTTTGTTTATTCTACCCGAAAATAAAGTGGACTGCTCAGTTTTATAATTTTATTTTGTACCTGATTTGCAAAAATATTTTTGTATGATTACAACCATATATTTTATTTATTAGTTAGTTCTGATTAGTAATTTACCTTGGACAAGAAGAGTAAGTTGTGTGGCTGTTTTGTGTTAATGAAAGAATAATAGTCTTAAACTTTAAATGACAGGCATGTTGATTTGATTCTGCCATGCAATAAAATACAAAAAGTTTTTGTTGTGAAAATGTTACTGGCAAAGTGTTCAATTAATGAACTTAAGCAAAAAATGTGGCAAATGCATTCAAATCAACAGCTTTTATTTTGATGTGGTGTTAACTTCTATTCACAATGTTGTGTTTCGTTGATATTTGTGTCAACACTAATTCTAATTCTATTTGATATGAGTGTATTTACATCAGATTATTTTACATCTGACATTTTTATATTAAATACACATTCCTGTAGCTACACTGTCAGCACTTCTTGTAGCCTTGTGGGCCTATGTCCATTATTATATTAACTATTTTTAAAATTAAAGTTCAATTAGCCATTTCCACAGTATTTTTGATCCAGAGTAACCAAAAAAATACTCTCCAATAAGAAATTAAAATCAAATTGATTTGTACTATGAAACCATAATGGAAAAATAAAACAATAACATTAAGCACAAAATCCATTATGTCTCTCTTAGAAATTGATGATTAGCATGGTGATTTATGATTAAGTTTTAATAATCTGTTTGTATGAAGGTAAGTGATTGTATTGTAAAAAACCTAAGCTAAATCAATTCACATTTTGCTTGAATTCTTTCAGGATCTACACATAGCCTTTAATGAAGCTTATCATAGATATCAAAAGCTGAGCAGGTAAACATGTAGTTAAGTAGTAATTCTTTTAAAGATTAATTCAGAGCAGGAGAATTTTAGAAGTCTTTTTTAAACATAGAAAGAAGCCATATTAAAGAATTTACTAAACATAAAAATTTGTCTTATTTCAATTTTTATACGCCCACATGAAATGGGAGGCACATATTGTTCGTCTGTCAATAAAGCACAATTCTTGATTGATTTTGAAGAAACATGGTATAAGTGTTTGTAATCCCCAAGGATGACTCTATTGAAAATCAGAACAATTGAAAAATATTTAGTATGAGTTATTGCCCTTGTTCTTGAAATGCTCGTAAATACTCTAGAAGGCACAATTCTTGATGGATATTGGTGTTAGTGTTTGTCACCCAATGATGAACCCTATTGAAAATCAGAAAAATATTGAATATGAGTTATTGTTCAGATTGCCTAGCAAGCTATCTTATATTAATAATATTTTCACTCTTTGTCACCAAAATTTACTTATGTGATCAGTTTTGGGCTGCATAAATTGCACATTATATATGCTACTGAAATGGCATTTAGTATATAGTTTAAATTGTATTTATTCTGCAGCACCCCTATCACACCTGGTAATATACACCAAAAGAATGATGTCAAATTTGATGATAACTGGCATGAAAGATATATCGAAAGGTAAAGCATATTGTTAAATCATCACTTGAAATAATCCAGCTTAAAGTTGGATTGTCCATGATTGTTTGACTGATACATAACCTGATATTTTTCTTCAAATTATCTTTGGTCAGCAAAATTTCTATTTTGTGGAGGATATCCTTTTACTTTATATATACAAATCGTTTACATGAAAATTTAATTTTCTTTTTCAGACACATGTTATTAAGAATGCAGAAAGAATTACGTGCTCATGAAGCAGCATTAAAACGTAAACAGAAAGAAACTGAAGATAGAAATAAAAGGCGTTTATTACTTGGTCTGAATGATTTTGATGAAGACTATCAAGGTAAATTTTACAAATGTGTTCCCTACCTTTTCATTGCATTGCCCTTTACATTTCATAGATGTGCAGATAAGATATACTGCATAATGGAACAAAAACAAAAACAAAAACTGATTCAATATGATATGACTTGTATCTGCTCTTGCCATTGGATTCAATGTTCTGTTAAGCCAAATTAACAATTAACTTATGACGATTCAAATACATTATTAACAAATCTAAATGTTGATATTTTTTAAACCAGTTTAAATACATTTAACAACCAATCAGTATCATAAAAGTTGCATGATGCAGCTTAAGAAAAGAAGGCATCAAGAGTGACAAGAGGAAAGTTTTCTTTTAAGAATTCCATTTTCACAGCGATTATGAATAATGACACATTGTGGGGTTGAAAGTTGTATCAGCTGCCTTGATGCTGTTGTTACTTCAATATGTCTTCATGTTAAAAATTCTATTACAGATACAAGACAGTATTATCAACAGACCTCACCAGCACACAGAGAGATACCATTACAGTACCGACATATCAGACAAACACCTCATGCACCACAAACTACACCAACTAACAGTCGACCTCATACAGCATTACCTGCTTTCAGACGTCTCAATACCATGTCTCATTCAGACAACAGTTCAGCCAAACGTAGACCAAAAACTGCCACATCATATCGTGACAGAGATCCAAAACTTCAGGAAGCCCAGAAACACTATTCTGACAGAAACTTATTTAATGAAGGTAGAGAGCTTGTAGGATCTGTGCCAAGATCACCTTACGAAGCAAAACCTACACATCTAACAATTTATAAAGATGGAGATACTAACAAGATGTCCAGAACACAATCATCTATGTCTAAGAAAAGCCAAAGGAGTTCTAAAATTTCTGGACCACAAACTGGTGTAGACTTCACTAGATATGATCAACAAGAACAAAGTAAAACACCATCTAAGATTGATCCCCATACAGACAAGATATTAAAACATATGTCTCATTACCAAAGTGAAATGTTTGATGATGTTGATTTTGAAGATAGAATCAATACACCTTATAGGTATGCATCAAGTTTCTTAATAGTTTGCCTGTGGGATTCACGATGTTCATTTGTTCTTTACTTTTTGATTCATTAGAATAGAAAAGACTTTTCATTTTAATCATTGATTTTTTTAAGTAGAATGGTGTAAAATTAATTAGGGAAAAATTGGAGCTATATGCTGATATATGAGAGTGAAAGCGTTTAAAACATACAAAGCCACTGTTACACTTGCATTATTTAATACAGCAATTCAGATGATAATCATTTAGATAGGAGAATATCAAATTTTTATAGATTGCTTGCTTCTTCCACAGATTCGCAAAACAGGGAAAAGATCCTGTACCAAACATGAAATTGCAAAAGCTGAAAACAGCTATTGATTCTAAACAAATAGATCCCAGAAACCCTGAAGCCATGAGACCAAAGTCAAGTAAATCTATACCTAGTAAATGCAGGTAAGTTTTATAAATATCAATAATGGATACTTCAATAAGATATTTTTATTGGAAAGAAAATTTTGAAAACAAATTTATGTTATTTTTCTTTGGTCCTTCTTTTGAGTAAGGGCTCAACTGATAGTAGTTGATTTGAATAACTGTGAAAATCAACTATTGTTAAATGGAACTTATGGAAGCCCCAAGGATTGTGACAATGATAGCTGTCAGTTAACCATTATTTAATAATGTTATAGAGCTTTTTGTGGTCAATTTCACTTCAGCATTAAATTACTTCACAGCTGAATTCATCAAATAAATCATATATGTGAAGCTGACTAAGACAACATTACTAGCTACACATGATAGCACATGGCATTTATTCCTCAAATTGATAAATGACAACATTGATTTATATTTTCAGTCAATATGTTTTATTGTCCAAGCCTAAAGAGAAATCACTTTATCCTTTACCAACACCATTAGAAGAGCAATTATTAGCTGAGAGATTTCCTATGTTGGGAAATAAAGTATATGAACATTTTGAAGGAATGATCGTGAGACATAGAAAACCTGAATATAATATTGATTACTCACCATTTGCGAGAGAACTTTATGGTTGATATCTTATTTTGATTGATGTCAATATCTGTTGGGTGATGTCACTTTAAAGTAGATAGCAATGTGGGCCTACATTTGATGTCATTGCATAGTGGTTAATGTCACAGTATCACTCTAAAGTTGTAGTTTCTAAATGAGGCTAACATGGCTTTTGCCTCCCCAGTTCTAAATTTCTTATCATAGAGTTTTTTTTAATGCGTCATGCTGTTTGTTCCCAGGGCAATTCTGTAGTAGCTTTTCGACCCCTCCATTTTATGATTACTAGAAAAACCACAGGTTGATATCACTGTGTGGTTGATGGGTAGATGTCAGTTTCTGGTTGATATCACTAGGGTTGATTGGTGGATACATAGAACAGTATACAGTTCTATGGTGGATGTCAGTGTCTGGTTATCTGTATGATTGGTTGATTTGAGTGTTTGGTTTATCATTGAGTGATTGATTTGTGGGCCAGTGTCTGGTTGATATCACCAAGATTCATTAAATTACTTCAAATGTCATTGTCTGGTTGATATCACTAGGGTTGATTGGTGGAATTCAGTTTCTGGGTGAAATCATTGTGTGGTTGATGGGTGGATGTCAGGGTCTGGTTGATATCACTATTGTTCATTGGTGAATGATAGTTTCTGGATGATATCACTGTATGGCTGATTGGTGGATGATAGCTTCTGGATGATATCACTGTATGGCTGATTGGTGGATGATAGCTTCTGGATGATATCACTGTACGGCTGATTGGTGGATGATAGCTTCTAGATGATTTCACTGTATGGCTGATTGGTGGATGATAGCTTCTGGATGATTTCAGGGTCTGGCTGTTCTCACTGTATGGTTGGTTGATTGGTTGATTTAAGTTTTTGGTTAATCACTGAGTGGTTGATTGGTGTGTCAATGTCTTGTTGATATCACTAGGGTTCATTTGTGGATGCAGTGTCTGGTTGATATCACTTTGTGGTTTATTAATAGATGTCAGTGTCTGGTTGATATCAATGTATTTGATGGGTTTATTTAATGTCTTGATGATATCACTGAGTGATTAATTGGTGGAGGTCTGTGTCTGGTTGATATCACTGGGGTTCATTGGTGGATGCAGTGTCTGGTTGATATCACTATGTGGTTTATTAGTGGATATCAGTGTCTGGTTGATATCACAAGGGTTCATTGGTGGATGCAGTGTCTGGTTGATATCACTTTGTGGTTTATTAGTGGATGACAGTGTCTGGTTGATATCACTAGGGTTCATTGGTGGATGCAGTGTCTGGTTGATATCACTTTGTGGTTTATTAGTGGATGACAGTGTCTGGTTGATATCACAAGGGCTCATTGGTGGATGCAGTGTCTGGTTGATATCTCTTTGTGGTTTATTAGTGTATGACAGTGTCTGGTTGGTATCGCTGTATTTGATTGGTTTATCTAGTGTCTTGTTGATATCACTGAGTGGTTGATTTGTGGATGGAAGTGTCTTATTGTTTTCACTAGGGTTCATTGATAGATGCCAATGTCTTGTTCATTGGTGGATGTCAGTGTCTGGTTGTTATAACTGAGTGATGGATGTCTTGTCTGATTGGTATGAATGTGTGGTTGATTGGTAGACATTCTTGTCTAGTTGATATCACTATACGGTGCTGAATGGTTGATTGTTTTGTATATTTGATGTGATATTTGGTCTCAGTTTCACTCCCCTAAATATTTTGACATTTAGATTTAGAAAAGGTAAGATATTAAAGGATAGATACTAGAAACTGTTGTTGTTGTTATGTCCAGTGGACCAGGTTATGTAGATTAAATATTAATGTAGCAATAAGTAAGAGATCTTGTTTTCAGATGTAATCCTAAAGAGAATGGCAAGGATTTTAGCGATTTCTTTCAGCTTCCCCTTACAAAATCCTAAATTTATTGTGATCAGTAATGAATTCATACTGTCTTTTTATACTTTAAAAAACTGAAAACAATCATTTATTGTAAGATTTAGATTATAGATTGTAGTTTTCTTATTGAAGAATTATTAGAAAAATATAGAAATTATTATTATGTCTCATGTTGATGTAAAGATTATTAATTGTAAGAGTTTTTATGTTTTGAGATTAAATTTGTAGGAAATATTTAATAAATAATCTAATATAGTGTTTTTGTTGAACATTTCTTGCAATTGATTTGAGACATTGTCTTGATGGATACACACTTTTAACAGTTGTTCATTTCTTGCAATTGATTTGAGACATTGTCTTGATGGATACACACTTTTAACAGTTGTTCATTTCTTGCAATTGATTTGAGACATTGTCTTGATGGATACACACTTTTAACAGTTGTTCATTTCTTGCAATTGATTTGAGACATTGTCTTGATGGATACACACTTTTAACAGTTGTTCATTTCTTGCAATTGATTTGAGACATTGTCTTGATGGATACACACTTTTAACAGTTGTTCATTTCTTGCAATTGATTTGAGACATTGTCTTGATGGATACACACTTTTAACAGTTGTTCATTTCTTGCAATTGATTTGAGACATTGTCTTGATGGATACACACTTTTAACAGTTGTTCATTTCTTGCAATTGATTTGAGACATTGTCTTGATGGATACACACTTTTAACAGTTGTTCATTTCTTGCAATTGATTTGAGACATTGTCTTGATGGATACACAATTTTAACAGTTGTTCATTTCTTGCAATTGATTTGAGGCATTGTCTTGATGGATACACACTTTTAACAGTTGTTCATTTCTTGCAATTGATTTGAGACATTGTCTTGATGGATACACACTTTTAACAGTTGTTCATTTCTTGCAATTGATTTGAGGCATTGTCTTGATGGATACACACTTTTAACAGTTGTTTATTTCTTGAAGTTGGATTATAGTATTGGACCTTGTACCTGTTGATGAAAGATTTTCAAATGCGAACTCTTCCCAAATGTCTCATCAGACACTTTCCCAACCCATTGGTTAGACGATCTTTTAAAAGATATTGATATTATGTGTAGATAATCGTTATTGTGTTATTCACCTGAGATTCCCGTGATTGACGTTTCAGTACCCAATGGGGTCAGCTAGATTGTTATGATCATGTTATTGAAAGAAAAGATAAACAACACGGAAGTCAAGTCTAAAACTCCTTTTGTAGTTAATATTCGTCAACTTGTCCCGTCAGAACGAACAAAAAATACTTATGAAAAAAACAAAAAATATATTTATCTATAAAAAAAAAAACCAAAAAACTAACATTTATCACGATATGGCGATATTTGAGTATTTTTTAACGATATAAATTGCTATACACTGGAATATCTCTTATCCCTTTAAACACTCATTGTTTTTTTTTTAAGATGATCGTTAAAAAGGTTAATTGATTCTTCTCTATTATTCATTAGTTGTTAATTACAAAACAGATTGATTGCTTTTAATTATTTATTTAATCAATTGAAACTGAAGTGTTGTTTTGAACGCATTCGAGACAGAAAGTTTAGGTGCGGATGATACATAGTCTCAAGGTATGAAGGTTGGCTGGCAGAGGTGCAGAATGAATCGTGAAAATAATTTAGCAAGGGGATTCCTAGCTTTATCATATTAGGTGACTCCCCAATGCGTCTGTAGTAACTTTAAAGATGCTACGCCGGCATCAATATTTTAATTCTTCTACTATCGAATTTGAAGATATCCCAATCCAACGTCACGTGCCGAATTCGGTTGCAACAGTTTTTCTGCAAAAAAAATATTCCAAATTGACACCTTATTCTATTCAAGTTGATATGTCGACATGGAGCTCATTGGGATACTTTATATCTATGGGATCAGTGTATAGTTCTCTGCTCTGTACGATTTCAACATTAAACGACTGACAGGTCCGTAATCAGTCTTGATTGTTCTGAGGAGCAAGCAATATATCCGGAGGAACTGTAACTACATATCCGCAATAGTATTGTTAAGCTACGATAGTCCCCTTTCTTGTATCATAAAATGCAGTGATTTGATTGGAATGAACGCTAGCGAATACATCCCATCAGAACTCTTGCCATAATAGTTTGGCTTAATTGTTTACACACTTTGTGTTGAGGCCTCATATTGGCTGAATTCCTTTGCGTACAATCCAATCAAATGGTGACATGACTTCTCTAAAACTTTAAAGGTGTCTATTGCAGAATGATATAAGACAAAGTTCGCAAAAGGTTGACAGTTTATATATATAGGGCGGCTCAGAGTATAACTGTTTAAATTGTTGGGTAGAACGTGTTTATTCGCTGATAATAAATTGGGCGGAGATGAGAGGGGAGGGAATGTTCCAAGGCATTATATTTTAAGCTGTTCGAGATAGAGAACAGTCTCAGTTATTGCAAAGAGCTGATAGTAGGAAGTTTATTTTTGAGCAGTTCACAACAGCACAGTTCGTGAATTTTTTATTAAACGCTTGGGTGAGATTAATCAATTCTTACTTTTGATTGCGAACCCCATTTAATAGATAAAATTTGTTCACAATACCTATAAAATGCAGATTTTGGATAGAGAAGTCTTTGTTTGGCAACGAGCTGATACTTAACACATTATTTTGTGTTAACTTTGAACTGTTCACAGGATAGTTCGTAAATCTTTCTTGAGTGAATGTAATCAAAGGGAACCCTACTCATGCAAGATCACAAACCCCTTTCAAATGTGAAAATGTGGTCACAAAACCTTTATACTGAAGATTTGAATACTCTGATGGTAATAGGCTACACATACAATCCTCTAAGTGACTGCTGCAAATGAAAACTGAAATAACGCGCATTGTTTAAGTTTGGACTATTCGGCCATATGTCATTATTCACCATCTTAAAAGATCTGATTTTGTACCTATAAGAAAGATTTTTTCATAGTTTTACAAATAGAAAATGAAGTGTATATATTCAACCTGTTATTGACTTTTCATGTTGTTAAACCTGTGTACTTGTCAGGTATGAAATGAATCGTGTTATTATTAATTCAATACCTTTGTGAACGATTGAGTAAACCCCCACAATA